TGTACCCGACTAAAAATCCTTTTATTGGATATTGAATTGTACAGTGTTGATGAGTTTCTTTTGAAACAATTTTAATTTTATTTTATTCGACAAGCAGTAGTTATACTACTTTATTTTATATTCATTATTATTATTATAATTTTATTATTGACGATCATAGTTATCCCTTGACATTGTATTTCCAATTGTAATATTGTGACATTGATAACATGAAATAAACGATTCTATTCTATTCTACCAATAAAAGATTATATTCAAAAGATTTGGAGCATCCGTGATACCAAATCTGACGATGAAGGTGAACATGAGAATACTACAGTTACTCTGGAGCATAATGTAACGTTAGAACAATGGAGTAAGTTTTTGGTAAATATTTTTTTTACACACATATTTCGTTAGACCTCCTACTTTTATTTCATGTTACTAAACATTTTTACGACTGAAAAAGTATATTTTCTTAATAAAACCAATGAGTTATTAACTCTATGTAAACGTGAAAAACAACTATGAAGTACCTAACATACACTGAAATCGGATGGCTAACTATGGCCAAGCATCTTTTCACAGAAAGATTCGTGCTTAACGCTGTAAGTTGAGTCGAGAATCCTCTACAAATTGAAAATCCTCTATCTTGTCATGTCATCTATCTACTTCAATCAATAGTAACTCACTGTTGCTTCTAGGCGTCTCGACAGTAAATCATATTCCTTAGGGTACTTAAGTCTCACGCACAATGGCATACACATTATTATTAATGATATTTACAAAAATATAGGCTGTATGTATATACACATATCATAAAAAAAAGTATGGGTGAATAAAATTGGCGCGAGTTTGTAGTTACAGTTCATAAACGAATTACAGTTTATTAACTATATTACGATTTGAGTTCTCAAGTATTCGTTAGCGGTGGCTCTATGGCCAATATTCAATAAACACCTAAATAATATAATATGTAAAAAAAAATGGAGTCTGAGGCCGTATATCTTCGTTTGAATGATAACGAAGTTGTTATGATGACTAAAACGTAAGTGCACTCAATAATTAACACTTCATATTAATACATACAATACAATACATACAATAATAACGCATAGAAACCTAGTCCGCACACGCTAAGTGAGGCAAATTGAAGCGCGCCCAAAGGGCCTACACAAGCGGGCGGGCCTTCAGTGCTCAAGGTCAACTTGCACCGCGAACAGATCAAGAATTTTTGCTAAAAATGACGAAATGTGCTGTAAATGAGTGTAAAAATGCGTCAGACAAACATAAAATAGATACTAACATCACATTCCACAAGGAAGTAACGCGTTTCAACTTGTATTTTTATATAAATATTCACTAAAACCGAAAATTAACCTACTACTAAAATTGAATACATGAATTTGATTTTTGCCTCACTTGTGACAGTTCGTTTGATATGAAACTATCATTCTATGCGTTATTATTCTAAGACTATATATATAGGTACCAAAATTACAAGTTCATTTTGGCATTTTGATAACGCGTGGTCACCTTGCGTTATACATTTTCATACATATAATAAAAAACGGATTTCTTTCTAATTAAATAATCAAAATGAAATCTGAAATGGCAGATATTTAGTAGTAAATTAATACTATAACTTCACCAATTATAATCTCTGTAATACTTACAAATCCAAAGATAATGACGTTCGTTACTTTTCAGAAATTGGAGGATTGGGTGAGCACATAAATATAATTATTATTCAAAAACGTTTCTCATTAGTGGCTTGTTTTATATTTTACAAATTCATATCTTAGAATAACAACGCATAGAATGATAGTTTCATATCAAGCGAACTGTCACAAGCGAGGCAAAAATCAAATTCATGTAGGCTAGTTTTAGTAGTAAGTTAATTTTCGGTTTTAGTGAATATTTATATGTATAAAAATACAAGTTGAAACGCGTTACTTCCTTGTGGAACGTGATGTTAGTATCTATTTTATGTTTGTCTGACGTATTTTTACACTCATTTACCGCACATTTCGTCATTCTTAGCAAAAATTCTTGATCTGTTCGCTGACGGCCCGCCCGCTCGTGTAGGCCCTTTGGGCGTGCTTCAATTTGCCTCACTTAGCGTGTGCGGACTAGGTTTCTGTGTTATTATTCTAAGATTCATATGTAACTTTTACTAAATCTAGACATAAACGAAATTTAATTGACTTATTTGGTTCTTAAGAAATCGTTCCTTTTAAAAACGTGCGGATTGAGTGTGCATAAGAAAGTATTTGTAAAAAAAATGAAAACGGCACTAATCGATCTGTAATTAAAAACGATAGTTTAACTAAACTTTTACTAAAAACTAGTACAATAAGATTATATGTAAACTTAATACTTTTGTAGATCTGATTGGGCCACTGAGTGAGCACACATTAGGTTATATTTCTCTTGTTTTATCTTTTTACAAATAGAAAGATTGGTTTCCACGATTGTTTTAGAAGTTTCACTAAGTAACTAACACATTTTAAACATTTTACAGAGGGTGCTCACTCAATACACACACACACGTAATTTTATTATTATCAGCGTAATTGATATTTTTTATTAGAAAAAAAAACGACATCAAAAGTCATTCATCCCCTAGTTTGCCATTGGAGGTGGTATATTTTCTTCAAATTTAAAAGGGACCAGTACCGAGGTACCCTCTTTCTAACAAAAAAGAATCACCAAAATCAGTTCACAAATGTCGAGTTATCGCGTAACATACATACAAAAAAAGAACATACAGTCGAATTGACAACCTCCTCTTCTTTTAAAGTCGGTTAAGAAACGTTAGTTATGACAAGGAGGGAGTAGAAATGTGTAGATTTGGGAGATATGTAAATATCACTAAGTAGCTATATGTAAATAGGCAGCTACGTAAATACGACTATGGCTACCCTTTTCTACACTTCCAATACTAGAAACGAAGACAAACTGATAGTACCAAAAAAGAGATTGAAAATAACTGCTAAGCAAGGTTACTGTCTAAAGGCAAAATTATACAATGGACTTCCACCGACAATACCCGAATTGCCCGAGTTAGAATTCAAAAGAAAGTTAAAAATAATGTAATTGAAAATCCATTTTTTAAAGTTGACGAATATGTTGATTTTATGCATTAAAAAAATCCTCACTATTTTATGACATTTAATGCATCTATTGATAATTACTTATGCAGTTTATTATTAAACAATATATTATTATTAATGATGGTAAGCTACACGCCTGTCCGTAACAGTTACAGTGCCACTCAGAGCTTTAAATGGCAAAGATCTGGGGGGCACTGCCACTGCGCCACTCCACCCTGAGACATAAATTGACAAGTCCCACGTGCCTGTAATTTCACCAGCACCCTTACCCTTCAAAACCAGAACCCAGTAATGCTGACATTACAGCTTGGCAGCAGAAATAGATACTTAAAAATGTATGTAACCTTTGAATTTAGTTGAAAGTAATACATTAAAATGTGTCAGTAGAGAATCATTTGATAATATAAGAAATTTTGTAATATAGCTCAATTACACAGAAACCGATAATGTCAAACCAGAACCAGAAACTTTTTTTAAATTTGTCTGAAGCCTGACTTTCTCTCAGTAAGAGTTGGTAGCCTTGGAGTGAACAAATTTCAGTTATGGAAATGTTTATCCATCCAAAATATGTCCCTAAATTTCTCCACCGCAACCTGGAGATTGTGAGACGGCACGGCATATAAGGTTCTGGAAAAATTGGTCTGTCAAAAGGATTCAGATCGATATGAATGCCACTGACTTGGCACCTGATATAAGTGAAATCATCGTTATTGGATGGGGTGCTACTTCCGTAAGTTTTATTTGTAATTTTAATTTGTTTACTTAGCTTTAGATGTCTGTAGTAATAGCTGTTGGGAGAACGGTTTCCTTGTCAGTTTCTAGTCAGAACTCATGTACCTAAATAATAGGTGTGTAAAAGTAAAAATAATAATATTTTTAAACTAAATTTAAAATTCTTCCCGAACTAAAATAAAGAATTATGGAGTGTGGTGGACTACGATTACATCAGACCAACAGTCATAAACTAACTTTCAGGCATTTAACAAATGTTATGCCCAACACACAAGTTGATTTTTACGCGCCAGCCAAGCGATATTGTCAAAAATCCATGGCCAAATAGACTGTCTTTGGTGAAGCTTGAATTATTTATTTATTGCTTTGCTTGCTTTTATTGCCTGTTGTCAAGCGCACTGCGGCAAGTAAGTATTTGCTGTAATTATTAGTTTTGAACATAAGGATTTTTCATTTGTTTCGAACAATTAGAAATCTGAACAAATGGCTATGAATTGTGACCTTCCAATAATTCCCCTGCTTTAGTAACTCTTTGAAACTGAATAATGTAATCCTGCGTTTATTTCTTTCTTTTTTTGCTAATTATTCTCGTATCATCATCATCATCATCAACTCATTTATATGTCCCACTGCTGAGCACGGGTCTCCTTTCAGACGAGGGTTTACGCCATAGTCCACCACGCTGGCCCAATGCGGGTTGGGGACTTCACATGTTTTCCTTATTGTGGACCTTCTTCGACGTGCAGGTTTCACCACGATGTTTTCCTTCACCGAAAAGCTCGTGATAAATTTAAAATTTAATTTCGCACATAAATTCCGAGGAACTCAGGAGGTGGAGAGAGGAGCGAGCCCGGATTCGAACTTACGACCTTCTGCTTGAGAGGCAGTAGGTCAAATATTAGGCTATCACGGCTTCTTATTCTCATATAATTATTGACAATTGATCGTGGTGTAATGACGCTGTCGATAACATAATGTTTGTTCTAATTAAGGAACGGAAATTGCATGATTCCCTTTACTCTATATTTTAATGGAATCTTTGGCCACTTACAGGATAAGATGGCTCCAGGCACAAATCGTAAAGCCTAATTTGTAGACAATC